ATTGATGACTTTGGCTATAACCATGATAACAAAAAAAAAAAGGAGCGAAATTGACGTTTTTTGTAACGTAATGAAAGAGCTCTTGGTAAATAGAAAAATGATTTGTTCATTGATGATTTTGGCTATAACCATAATAAAAAAACAAGAGAGACAAATCGACAACTTTCTGTAGTCCGATGAATGACATCTTGATAAACCTAGATATCATTTGTTGATTGATGGGTTTGGTTGCAACAATGATAAATAAAAAATGAGCAAAAGTGATAGTTTTCTGCAGGTTCATGAAAAAGCTTTTGATAAACGTATAAATCTTTTGCAGATGATGAGTTTGGCTATTACCATGATAACAAAAAAAAAGAAAAAATTGACGGGTTTCTGCAGTCTAATGAAAGAGCTTTTGGTAAACGTAAAAATAATTTGCTGATTAAAAAGTTTTAGTATGACTTTTATAACGAAAAATGATCAAAATTGAAGATTTTTTGTAGCCTGATGTTAAAGTTATTGATTCGCAGAGAAATCATTTGCTAATTGATGAGTTTGTGGCAATAGCCATGATAACAAAAAAAAAAATTGACGGTTTTCTTCTGGCTATAACAATTGTAACAATAAAAAAGAACAAAATAGATACTTTTCTATAACCTAATGAAAGAGTTCTTGATAAATGTAGAAATTATTTGTTGATTTATGTGTTTGGCTATAACCATGATAACAAAAAAATGAGCAAAATTGACGGTTTTTTGGAGCCATATGAAAGAATTGTTATTAAACGTAATAATCACTTTCTGATTTATGATTTTGGCTATAACTATAATTAGAAAAAAATTGATGGTTTTCTGAAGTCTGATGAAAGAGTTCTTGATAAGCGTATAAATCATTTACTGAAGATGAGTTTGGCTATAACAAAGATAACAAAAAAACATGAGTAAAATAACGATTTTCTGGAGTCTAATGAAAGAGATTTTGATAAATGTAGAAATCATTTGTTGATTGATGAGTTTTTGATAATTATGTTGAATCCGGATCTCAGTATTACCAATGAGATGCTTTGTTGGTAATTACTTTTTTATTTTTTTTGTCGTCCACAATCAAAACTCTAAAATTTTCGACGGAACGTTAACTGATTCTGATATTATAAACCGGGTGTCAGGAATCCTGAAAACGACAAAGTACCTATCGTCACATGCAAAGAGAATGCTATAAAATGATGACGTTCGTTGTTTTTTTATTGTCTTGAAATTTTTGTTTTTTTTTTTTTTATGATTGGCATCTTATTTTCTTACCATTTATAATATTCTTTTATCTCTCATGATTTTACCGTTTATGCACGATAACTTACACCATTTGTATATATTATTACTATGGTGTTGATAATAGAGTGATATATTTTTATCCTTAAATTTCGTTAGTATATATTTCAGTTTAACTGTTGAGATTTAGTTTTTTTTTTCTAAACTTAATTTATTAATCTTATGGATAAATTCTATATCGTTTAATCAATATTCGTTTTTGTTAATCTTCTGATTTAGTTTTTAATATATATTTTCCATTGTTATGTTCTTTCCAAATAATCGTTAGGTCTACATATACGTATCGCGCGTTTATACCTCATTGGATTGTTTAGCCGAGTAATATTTTGATATGGGTTCTACAATGATACCTTTTACCTCTGATTCATGTGATGGTGGTTATTTTCATATTGCGTCTCTTAACCCTAACATGGGTGAGTGGTCTGTTTCGGTGAAGATTTGAATTGTTGGTCTGTTTCGCGTGGCTCGGGTAGAGAGCTCAATATGATTTTGGGTGACGAGCATGTTAGTATTTTAATAACTTACCTTCTATACATGTTTTCGATATTAAATTGAATTGTTTTTTTCTTTAACATTTCATTTGCAGTTCACCCAAATTTAAGCCATTGTTCGTGATGAATTAATTGATAATTATTTTTCAAGATTGATAATCGACGAGTGGGTGAGCATTAAAATTTTTGATGTATCCCGGGTTAACAGCATCTTGAGACCAGTACCGAATAGATTCAAGATTGTGTTTCGTTCGGACACTTTAGTGCAAAGTATTAATATGTGCTCCAGTAGAACCTATTTCAATCTAACTGAGTTTGTGAGTATATTTAGTGGTATTGTTAACCCGAATATTTGCGTTGGTAAGCCTAATTTATGAATTTATTTGTGCTTTTGGAGTTTATTTGCGATTCATGTTCTGACTGTATTATTCATGTGTGTGTTTCATAGATGTTATTGGCAAAATTCTCAACGTGAGAGAGTTGGTTTTTGTTCCTTCCGTGGAACATTCTCAAGGAGGATATTTTGAGCTGTGCTTTGGTTTACGTGATACTGAGTAAGTCACTATTTTTTTTAAGATTTAAACCAGAATATAAAGTCTTATGACTTCTTCAAATCTTAAAATTAGGTGTATCCATCTAGAGTGTCGTTTGACGGGTGACCTTGCAGTCGAGTTCTATGTCTTATGGAAGCGTCGTTCACGTAACACAGTGATATGTATTATCAAGTTTGTGAAATTAGAGCTATCACAGGAACATAGGTGGAGATGTACCAACGTTACCGGATGTACGAGGATTATGTTGAATCCGGATCTCAGTATTACCGACTAGATGCTTTGTTGGTAAGTATTTTTTTTTTTTTTCCCATTTACAATCAAAACTCTAGAGTTGGCGACTGAACATTCACTGTTTATGGTGTTCTAAATCGGATGTCAGGAATCCTGAAAACGACCAAGTACCTATCATCACACGCAAGGAGAATGCCATGGAGTGATGAACTTTTCCATAAGTCATCTTGGTGAATAGGTTTAAAAGATGATTTATTATTATTTTCTTAGCATTTATAATATTATTGAATTTTTTAAATTTCATCATTTACCATATTTTATTAAATTAAACCCTAAACATTTTACCATTTTTTTTTTACACTAACAAATACTACCTAAACAATCCCTCATCTCACATGATTTTACCATTCATACATCATTATTCCCTCATCTCACATGATTTTACCATTCATACATCATTATTCCCTCATCTCACATGATTATGCGCGGGCAGTCACCTAGTTATGTAAAATGCTATTACATAATATTATTTTTTTGGTTTTTCTAAAACGTTTAAATTTAGTTATTTAAATAAACAGTTTCCTACTTGTTTATTTGTAAACATTTCTCTCTTTTTTTTTTGTCAACTTTGCAAGCAATCTCCTTTTTTTTTTTTCAATGGAATTAATATTGATATTCAAAGTTTCGGAAAGGTTACAAAACACCAGAAAAAGACGAGAGTGAAATTACAGAGAAACACAATGATCTTCCATAACCTACAACTAGAAGAGGAAAGGAATTTCCGATTACATTGCATAAACCAAACACATCTTGTCTCGAGACTATCGAAGCTCTCGAAGCTCACCATAAGGACTTTCCGCATTTCAATTATGAAAACGGGCTTCAACACAAATGGCAAAAACAAGTGTGTGGATCTTGGTCTTCTCCGCATAAGATGCATCTTCTCTATGAGTGCTTATGTCAAGGTTTTCTCGGATGAACCGTAAGATAATCGAGAACCACTTAGACCTTTCACCACCACAACGATTAAGAAATTAAGCAAGACATTGCTTAATACTAAACGAGATAAATCCCAGAAATAACCAAAGCTCAACCCCAAACTAACAGACTAAATAAGCCGAGGAAGAGAAACTTAGCCCAAAAGAGGGAGACGTCAGCCCAAACGAGGGAAACAACTAAACCTAAGCAACTGATGTTACCAGATCTCACACGGATACAATCTGATCAGAGCAAATAGGCAAAACAAGGAGGAAGACAGTAAAGACGACGGAGATACCGAGAAATCGAAAAATCGATCTAATGTTGCACAGAATCGGCAAGGAGAGAAGAGAACGAGCCGTCGCAAGAAGAAACAAAGAGCCCCCCATGTCACATAGACTCAGCGAAGCCAACCACCGGAAAGAACAGAGCATTACCGTGGCACCACTCCATGACCTGCGAACAAAGATGGCGACCCGAGCACACTAGCAACCAACAGATCCGACAAATCTGTAAACCATGGCCAAATCTCACTAGATCAGATTCACGAACCCACCACTCACCATCGCAAAAACCTTCACGCTTCCTCACCGAAGGAGCCAGAGACAGGAAATGAAAAACTAAGCAGAAATATAAAGGAGATGACCGACGCCGGCCCTATATGAGCCGCCACGCGCCGGTCATAAACTCAACGGCAGCTTTGTGTTAAGACAGGAGGCGAGAGAGAATAATATTAGGGCGAACCGTAGTCGAACAAGTGGCGCTTTCCATGTGTTTTTTTAATGTGTTGCAAGCAATCTCCTAGAGAACAAGTTTTATTTTAAAAGATATAATATCACCTTCTCTAGTGGAAATTGCATCTAGGTTTTCAACTTTAAAATATAATCTTGAAATTGGTCAGATAATTTAAATTGTTTTTTTTCCCCTATGATTCGGTGACCAAGTGACACGAGTACTCATGGACAGTGGCACTACAAGAAAACTGGGTTTTAGCAACTACACTAAAAGTCGCTAAATAGTCGCTAAATGATGGGTTACGACTAAATAGCGACTAAAACGTGTAGTCGTAAATCGAGAGTCGCTAAATTAATAGTCGTAAAATTAGTCGCCATTTAGCGACTATTTTACTACTAATATTCGTAGTCGTATATGTAGTCGTAGATTAGTCGCCAAATTTAGTGACTAATTGACGACTATATTGCGACTTTGGTCTTAATTATTTATTTATATATTTATACAGTATTTTAATTATTTATACAGTATTTATGTATTTATACAATATTTATGTATTTATACAGTATTTGGGTATTTATACAGTATTTAGGTATTTATTTCAGTAATAATATTTATATTTTTACTAATTATTTTATAATATGTTTTTGGAAGGTACTGATATTAGTAATAAAAATTATACATTTAAAAAAAAACCATATTACAAATAAATCTAAAAACATTATTAAAAATAAAATTACATCATCCTCCTAAAAACATAATTAACACAAAGCAGATAACAATCTTTAAGAAAGAACTTGGCTTAATTAACTCTTTTGATTTCAATTCTTCTTCATTGTCTTACTCTTTCATACTTTTTCTGCTCCAAAAACTGCCTCATGGTTATTTCTACCGGAAGAAAATGATGATATGGTATCATAGGTCTGGTCAAGATCTTGTCCCTGAAAAAAGAAACGCACCATGACAAGGCAAGGACATAACATCTTAAGAGAGCACGCCAACTAGGTCTAACTATCCAACTCTAGAATACAAACACACATAAGACGAAAGCATCAAAGTCTATATCAATACGAGCTGAAATTTAAAATGCAAAGAACTTGGCAATAGTAGTATAGCAATAACAAGAAGCAAAGACAATAAACAAATTTACTTTGTCCAAAGTCTATGTACGTTCAAAATATGAGAGCAAGTGAACTTGTACCTTAAACTCAAAGTGTTGGGACTTTTTTAAAACATCTCTTAGGCTGCCCTGGACAGTGGCAACAATTGGTATACATTCACTTCATCTGTGAACACGAAAGAAAACCCATACACATAGAGAAATATGAATCGAAGTTAGCCCCTAAAACTGAGATGCTAGGATATTCACAAACAAGTAATTATGTTTTATCTAGTTCAATTAGCTTAGATATTCACTAAGCGAAAAAAACACAAGGAGTTCAAAAGGACAAACATTTGCTTTGATAGAAACTCCAACGTACGTAGAACCAAATTATACAAGTACTCAACTTTCTTGGGAGTAAACTTGAACCGAGCCCTGAAGCAGTAAAACAGCTACAGATTTAGAGCAACACAAAATTTGAAACCCAATTCTCAATTACCCTAAAAAATTGAATAAGTTGAAATCAAACGAGAAACAAATTTCTGAAAATCGAAGCAAAATACCACAAACCTTCAGCGAATTCACAGGAATCTGCCCATCTTCTTCATTTCCATTGAGTTCTCCAGTAATAATTTTGAAGGTATTCTTCTAGATTCTCCGACAAATCAACTTCCCAATTAGTCATTGAATCCCTCTCCAGCTGTACCGTGTGGATCCTCTCGCCGCGAACTCCACAAATTGGAGGCCATCAACACGAGCCACGGAGTTGTCTCGAGGCACCGCAAATTGAGATCTCAAATCACGAACTCTATATCTCCGACGACCACCACTTAGATAACACCAGTGACACAAATGATCCCTCTCACGTCACCGGCGAAGGCACCGGACGCCGGAGAGGCAAAACGGCGTTCATTTGTGGTGGAGGCGAGCTGACGAGCTGTGGATGCGAGGGTATTAGGTTAGAGGAGATAAGTGGAAAACCGAGAAAGACTTCGTCACAAAAATAAAAGAGTAAAGGCTTTGAAGAATTTTAGGCCCAAATTTCATTTCTCCCCGACTCAAATTTTATTTGCCCCCAATAAGCCTCAAATTTCAATTTCCCCTAATTTTAAATCCAGATTTTAAGTCTTCCAAAATTAATTTAATAAACTATGGGTTGAATTGCAACCGATTTGGAATTTAATTTTAATACAACAGTTCATAAATTTAATTTTAATACTAAATTATTAGATTTGATATAGATTTCAAAGAATTTAGATTTATAAATCTGAAATTTTATATTTTTTTTAAGTGTATGATTCCAGTTTTGAAAATAAAATAATATATATATATATATAATATATAATTAAAAGAATCAAATCAAACACTTTGGTTGAATGGTTTGTGATATAATTTATATATATGCATAATGCATTAGAAGAGTTTAAAATTTAAACTTTAGGGTTTGGAGGTTAAGTTTAGGGTTTGAAGTATAGGGTTTGGGGTTTAAGTTTAAGATTTGGGGTTAAGTTTTGATTAAAAATAAGATTTGGAAAACTATAATTTTTTATAAGTGTTAGTTTTCAGTTTATGGATATATTATTGTAACTAGATAATTTTTTTTGAATTTTGAGATTTAAAGTTTTGTATTTAGGTTTTAGAAAAAAATGGTGAAGTTTGATTATATAAACAGTTATGGAGACTAAATAGTGACTACAAAACCACCAGAAGGTGACTATGTTTTGTAGTCACATATTAGTCACCAAATTAGCGACTTTTTTTGTGACTACTTTTTTCTGTATGCAATGTAGTCATAAAGTAGTCGCCTATTTGGCGACTACATTCAATAGTCATTCAAAATAGTCGCCTATTTAGCGACTACAATACGACTATAGTCGGGGTCTTATATGATAGTCGTATAATAGTCGCTATATTACGACTATTTGTAGCCATATGGCTACAAATCTACTGCCCCTAGTCGGCTCTAATATACCCAATAGGTTACCTCATTATTAATCAATAAAACATTACGTTGAGTAATAGAAAACTCCACATTTATATCTACATTACATGAATCTAGACATTATTCATATTATAGCAGCGACAATAAAGGGAAAAACGACGTGGAATATGGGTGTAGCCAAGATAAAAGTTTTGTGACTAGTGATGCCTTTTGAGATGCAATCCTAGACGATGATAACTTCTTCTATAATCTCTTTTTGGCTTTTCTTTTCACCATATCTTTGCACTTCCTCTTCTTTAGTTTTACCCCATAGACCAAGGTATAGTCCACACACCAACAACACTGCCCCACCCACACTGCACCAGTTTATATCCCCAAGTCCAAACACAAACATTCTCAATATCAGGTTCTAACGACATGTAGATAGGAAATTATGTTTACATATAAAAAAAAAGACAAACCTTCCAAGGTAAAGTGTTTCCTTGAAAAGGAAAGATGAGACAATGCAAGTAAGGATGAGAGCTAAAGGAGTGTAGAGTGCAGTGAATACTGGCCCTTTCTTCTCTATTGCCCATACTTGTAACCAATATGTGAGGCCAGTCACCATAATTCCCTAATAAATTTTGTTTGGCCATTCTTTTAATAAACAAGAAGATGAACTTTATATCTAAAATTATTTAAAGATTTGAGATGGGATTAGGTTAACGTACACAATAAGCCATTGAGAGAAGAGGTAAGCCGAATTCGATCTTCCAAACTGATGGACTTCTGTTCACCGCGACTGCCCAAACTGCGGTTTGTATGCAACTAAAGAAGCATTGTACTGTTACCAATCGCAACTTCGCTGGGTATTCCTTCATCACCTTGCTCTAACAACACCAATAATTAAAGTTGTTAAAGAATGTTTTTTATTTTCTTAAAAAATATTCAGTGATGATCAAACATAGAAGAGTTTCGTTTGAGTAGTAGTCTCTATGGACAAATATTTGATGTCATACCTATGTCACATCTGTATATACTAAATAATGGTGCACTTCTTTTTAGTGCATCGGTACAAGATTGATATGATAAATAATTTGTGCTTTCATTTTACTCAAAAAATTTGTTTTTTAAGAACCTCAAAATTTTTGTTTATCTATAATATATAGACGTAAACCGGTTCCAAATAATCTCTAAATCGAACCAGAAAATACCACTACTCCACTACCAACCATTATGAAAGTGTATAACCGACTAGTCGTTTTTCATACCATGGTGGAAGTCTAATTACGTAACATCGGAGACTTGCTTTCTACATATAGATTAAGTGAACTTTCCAAAAATGTAATATTTCATGAATACTTTTTTTTTAAAACGTAAATAAAATCGAAATGTATATGGGTCGTTGAAAATCATCTTAATTAAGAATTTGATATTCTATACTTTGTTTAACTAACTAAAAGTATCTCATATATATAACAAAAGTATGTATTTTTTAATTTCATATTACCTACAAAACTATGCAGTTACATTAATAATAAAATTTTCTTGTTGTGATATGTATAGAAATGTTTTCTTATATTTTTAAAGCCAAAATGTAAATCATGCGCTTTTATATTTTATTAAACATTATACAACTTTTTATTGATAACATGCACATTTGCATTAAAAAAACGTTATTCCGCTATTATATGAGTTATCAATCGAATCCGATGTATAATCAATATCATAATAGTGTTTTCTACACTAAACTGCAGTAATGAAATAAACAAATTATAAATTGAGGAAACAAAGGAGCAATGATTAAGAAATTAGGAGGCAACTAGTGAAGTGAGTGAGTGAGTGGCATACAAAGGAGTAACGATTAAAAAATTAGGAGGCACCTAGCTAGTGAAGTGATGAAAGTGAGTAAGTGATCAGTGAGTGGCATACCTGCATGATAATCCACAAACACCAGCAAGTATTGGCAGCGAGCATTGTGATTGAACCTTTTACAGAATTTTTGGTTGATGGAACGGTGCCGTTTGGGATGGTGCTGCTGTTATTGTGGTTTATCAAACTTGGCCCTTTTACAAAAGCAAACACTAATGCGCCCAACATTCCAACCATTGAACCAATGACTTTGGCCACTCCGTGTGACTTCTTCAAGGTCACCGTCTCTAATCTTTTTATTATATATAAATTCAGTTTAGATTTCGAAATATTTGAGCAAAATATACTGAATTTTTAGATGTATTGGTTCTAGCTAAATTTTAGATAATTTGATTCCATATTTTATTTTTGACCTACATGGTTTGTTAAAATATACCATATTGAAAGCGTAGGTGATTCCTTCAAACATATTTTCTTTATCCTCGTTCTTTCTCTAGACAAATCTTTTGAGTCAAAACTCAACTCATAATAGTCAATTTGTTGTTTCTCCTGCTTACTTTTTCTTATCTTCATAACTAATTTACTTTTACACAAAGCAAAATCACAACTTGATATATTTTATGCATAAAATAAACTATATTTTAAAAGTAACCAATTCTCATCCACACTTATAATTGACATATGATATGAAAATAATAATATGGCTATCATTTATGCTTTAAGAATATAAAAATAAATAATAAAATAGATTAAAGTGATTTTCTTTGATTTGATTTATTATTTTTTACGATTCTTTAGCTTTTTATCACAAATTATTTAAAATTAAAATAAAGTATTATGCCCAACTTCCGATTTGTTTTTATAAAATAAACACAACCTTTGGATCAACTCAGGGCTTATATGAAAGAGTGAGACACTTTTGTATATATACCTGAATAGGAGAGCCAAGACGAAGGTGATAGAGGGGATGGCGTTGGTGGTGGCTGCCGCGAAAGTGGCGGTGGTGTTCTCGATGGCCACGTAGTAGAGGTTAAGACTCAACGTGAGTCTAAATTTTTATAACAATATTGTTAGACAGTTAGTTAAAAATTAAACTTAACTCCAAGAATCAGAATTTCCAATATATAGCAACATTATTAGTCATATATACCCGCATAAGGAGATAAAGAATATTTTGAGCAACAAGACAAACGATAGAGGAGAGGACTTGGAGCTGCAAAACAACGTTAAGAATATGAGAGTTTATCGCTGTTTTCTTTGGTCCAAAAAGATTATGGACGCCGAAGATCCAAAACTTCTTGGTTACCAACAGAAAAATATATATGAGAGTTTTTGGTTAGCTAAAAGCGAAGAATTCAGAGTTATAGAAGAGAAGAACCTTTCAAGGAAGAATGCGAAAGGCGATAAGGCAAGAGCCGCGAAGGCTTGTCTATAGAAAACAAAGACAAAAGGGTTGGTTCCTTGAGAGATAGCCACTTTAGAGAGCAATGGCATTCCTGCATATACAATCTGTACAAACACCATTGCCATGTTGGCTTTGTGCTCTATCATCATCGTGTAATATGATGTATGTTTTGTCTTTTTTTTTTTTTTTTTTTTCTTGATGTGATGAAGCTCACTTTGCTTCTCTCCCGCTATTTATGCATTTGTGTTGGTGGCAACTTTAAAGATTTTCTCTTCTTTTTTTTAGGTCACTACAAGAGTACAGCTAATATAGACACGTGTACTTCCATAAACGTTTCAATCAAAACAGCTCCCACACATCCATTCTTGTTTTCTCTCAAGATTTAGTGATTTTATCTCCTCATAAAACTGCATAAATTACTCCTTGTAGCGGTGCATAAATATCACAATATGTGCTTTATCTATATCTAGCGAAACATAAGCACGTTGCAACTTGCAAGTGGTTTTCACTTAATTCAACTTTGATATGATTGAGTTTTAATCCAAGTACTTTGATATGATTGAGTTTTCACTTAAGTATGCATGTGTCGTCTCTCATTCCGCACCCGCCAATTATTTGGACTCTAATTATTTTGTGACACTAGGGTAAGAAATATTAGAACCATAATTTTTTTTGCTGAAACTATAAACCTTGCCATGAAGGGATGCAATTATGCAAATATGCAATCGTTAGTTTATTAATACTTTAAGAGAAAATAAAGCCGAAGATTCGAAGTAGCGAGACAAATAATGTCGCCACAAAAGAGAAAGCAAGAGCACACAACTTCGCGTTGATAATTTACAATATGCATATCTGCTGTTCGACTCTTTTTTGTTTTTGTTTCTGCTTTTTTTAAAAGTAATTGTCGAAAGAATAATAAAGAATAATTTTATTTATTTTATACACTATACAATTGGTCCACATTTGCGTGAAAAGAGTGTAATCTTAATATTACATTAGTCCAACTTAGGAACAAAAATAATTATTTATGATTATTAATTTAACGAATATTAATTTATAGAGGTTTTACTGTAATAGTGATCGAGATAGTTAAGAATTTGAGAATTGAGATTTAACCGTGAAACCAAAAATGTCTTATAAAAGTTTGAAAAAAATGTTAACCCATTATTCTAAATACCAGACACAATCATGGCAGTTGAACAATTTTCATTGTATTTTTCTTATTTTGCAATGAGAATACCAATCTCGATACCTAGAGGTGTAGTGAATACCAATCTCGATACTTATTTCAATTTAAAAACTTTGCCTACAACAAAAAAAAGGGTATAGGCCTTGTTCTTTTCCTGAACGCAACGACACCAACAGAGAGGAAGAAAAACATTCGGCGGAAAAAAAGAAAATATCGCCGAAGATGAACGTCTATGAAGATTGAGGTGTCGCTGTTAATTTCAGCGACTCATCGGCTGTCATCCGCGACTCATCTTAAGTTGTTATTTTCAAGCCTTGGTGTCGTTTTACTTAGCTGCTACATCTCATGACACGTCGTTTTATTCCGTTGCTGCCGCGGTCGCATCATTTAGTAAAAGAACATGGCCATATATATATTCATTATCAAATTGAAAAGAAAAAAATATCAAATTAAAAAGAAAAAGATAGCCCAAAAAAATCAAGATATTAGCTAAGAGATGCAACGAACGAGTCCTAATTGCGCATACACTTGGAGATGCTCCTAAAGATAGTCCAATAATGACCAAATGAACTACTATTCTTGATTCCAATACCTAAATTCACAAGAAGAAACAAAACAGAACATTAATATGCAATTAAAGTGAGATCTTGAGGCATGACTAGATCAAATTATTTATGATGATAATGTAGCTTACGACAAAAACAAAGAAGGCTACATGTAAATGTGTGAAATTTCTATTATTTATCAGATAGTTTAGATATTAGCTCTTGTTCTTAAGATATATAATTCGATCAACCATCTAAAATGATCAATTCTACCAAAATTTAATAATGATGCACTCATGACGCATTATGATATTCCTCCATCAATATCTTTCGACACATGTTATACTATTTACATTTTTCAACTTTTAAAAGACACATGTGACAAAAAGAATGTAATGGTTCTAATGCAACGGTCGTTTTATCTTCAAGTAGGGGCCTAATCAAAGGGAGACAAAACAATATATCAAGTACTGTTTTATGAAACAGTTAAATGTGTTGATATGTAATGAAACAACGACAGTAGGAACTATTCAACTATTATTAACGCATGATGTCGTAGTACTAAGTATGTTGACCCTTCATCTTTTATATATTAATAAAAAACCACTCTAAAAAATAAACCTTACTTTGACGTGTTATTAACAGTGCCGGCTCACCCATGTGCGGAGGGTGCTCATGCAAAAGGTCCATCTAATTTTATCTTTTTTTTTTAATAACTAAATTTACTAAAATTAGGGTCCTAAATTGTTTTTTATAAAAATACATAAGAAATTAGGTCCAATTATTTTTTCCAGCTTAGGGTCCTTAATTTTTTTAAGCCGGCCCTGGTTAGTAACTAAACTGCCATGCTAACGTGTCGCTTTCAGAGTGATTTTCCACCCATTTAAATTTTTATCCAAATTTTACTAAATTATTTACAGATTTTGCCATTATTCTTAATATATAAATATATCACACAAATAAAAAAACCAAAATTCTAACTAAAAAGCAAATAATTAGGCAATTGATGTATTAAAAAAAAAAAAAGCTAATAATTAGGCAACTGATCTTCATATTTATATTTAACAACAATTCACGAGAGCTTTGTTTATTTATATTAATGATCTATTTTTTAATAATTAAAAACATACACTTTTTGTTTATTTTATATTAATAAATCTTTATATTTTTCTTTAGATACATTTATATAAATCTTCTCTAGCCGATGGATAAACAATCTTTGTATTTAATTTATATTTATATTTAAATAATAAAATATATATATTTGGTTCAACAATATCGAATTCAAAACTACAAAATCTCTACATCTTTTATAAATTTATATATCTATTATACTTAAATAAATAGGATAATCTATTTTCTATATATGTTACGAATACTTAAATTCCAATTTTTTTAGAGGGATTCTAATTTTTCGAAGAAAAACTAACCATATTTATATATAAACCAAAATATGGCCACATTATAACTATTTCGTAGTAAAATAAAACCTTTTTGAATTCCGAAGTAAATCAATGGAAAAACTGGTTAAGAAGTCAGTATCAATACAATTTACCCCAGATTGCATGGGCTAGATTAGTACCCCAAAATCTATTCATAATCTAAGAATCTAAATTTGGAACACTACAAAATCTTAACTTAGAAACTATCAAATCTCATCTTTGATAAATTTTTGGATTTCTTATACTTAAATCTCGACATCTTTTTTTCTTTAATCATTCTCGACATCTTTAAAACATACAGAAAGGCATATTGGCATAAGTGGTAACATTTCGTCAATACTTTCTTTATCACGTTGAAGCTTTATTCCAAGTTCAAATATTTCACGGGTAAAACGTATTCTTATACGAAATAATCTCAAATTTGAATAATAAAAAATAAAAAAAATTATTACATGTTTCGTTTTATAGAAACGGATCTTTGATCCCGAATAAAAATTTTAATCATAATAATTTTACTTGAATCATTTTATCCCGCACATAGTACGGGTTGTTATCTATTTCTACTTATTTCAACACGTGTTTTTTATAGCTTTTTCAAAAACTTAATCATTGTTTACATATTTGGCCGTTCCTATCGGACTTGCAAAAAAACAAAACAAAAATGCAGAAGAGATATTTTGTGATATTATGTAAATGAATAAGCATGAAGTGTAAATAAACTCTAAACGATTTATGTCAGTGGGAATTTACTACAAGAAGACATCCCAAATTCCTAATATTATTTCCGTTGAAAGTAATTGTCGGAAAAATTTGACAAATTGCCGACTAATTTTCGATAGAAGGAATATTAGTTGCGAATTGGTCATAATATTTTGAAACATTAGTCAGACTTTTTAAAAAATTGGAAGATTTTTTTGACGAAAAATTGGCATTGGAAATATGTTAGAACATCGTCGAAAAGTGTCGACTAATGGTAATTTCAGACGATTTTCCGACATTTTAGAGTAATCAAAAATTCGTCGAAAATATGATTATCAGCTTGAAAAGGTTAAGTCAATCACATTAAATTATAATCATTACAAGTCTATGTATTTTTTTTTTTGGTAGCTTAGGTAATCCTAAAAACTTTCTAGGCCCAAAGACTAATCCTGGGATCCGGAAAACCATGTTAAATTATTCGAATTCTGGTGGCCAATGCTACTCGAACCAGGTGGCGGGAATTACCTTCCTTTATTACTGGACCAAGGCGACTTGGTTTACAAGTCTATGTAAAATCAGCAAGCAAGAGAAAAACACATCACAAAAGTTATAGATGGGGGTTTTCACAAATTTCCTCTATACACATCTTCTTCTTCTTTCAGCTTGGTTCTCTGTGACAAGAACGTGGAACTCTGATCCAAGCATGTCATGTATGTCGATATTCTCCATGTTGCTTAAGTTAAAAGTTTCCATGATCACTTCTAGAGTCACGGTGAAGCCAAGGTTAGACAAGACTCGTATTGCATTCCCAATTCTAAGAATGCTTTGCCGAGTCTTTAATGAGATGATCTCATCATCCAAAACCATAGGATATTGGACTTGGGCGTGTTCCCCTACCCAAATGAAGCCATTACGGCCGAGAATCAAATCGATCCCAAGAGTTTCTATGAAATGAAAGTGAAGGTTGCTTCTCTTAACCAAGTAAGGATCAACCTTCAGAAGCTGTCCCTTGTCCAGCTATCGAAGAAATTCATCAATTAATCATAATGTTTAAAGAGGAAGAGACTAGCAAAATTTATAACTTTGACTATACCAACCTTTCCATACTTGTGACTTCCAGCTAGTAGTAGCTGCAGGCTGCCATCGCGCTGAGTTTCGCCTACTTCGGCCTAGAGAATTTGTACAAAACAAAAAATAAAAGGGAACCTTTCTTGTCAGGTATGTTCAAAAATGAACATATTTAAAGATGGAAGATAAATGAAAACAGTAGAACTAACACAAAGGACATCATCTTCTACCAAAATATTCCGCATATTGAGTTCATCCACAGACGTCATTCTCTTCTGCCAGAAACTTAAATCGTTGAACCCAAAAGACAATGTGGCAAATATTGAAAATACCAAAACAATTGGGGAATCAAATAGTAACCTGAACAGAATCATGCATATTGATGGAAGAAAGCTTCAGTACTCCATCTTGACTAGAGTTGAGCTCCACTTTCCAATGGCTTTGAGCAACCTAAAATAATAACAAGGATTTTAAGATTCATTACAATGTGACCAGATGTCAAAACCCAAAATCCTTATAACAAAACTATACCTTAATGACACGGCCTACCACAATATCCCCAACCTCAGGTTTGTACCTAAACGCAACAATCATCAGTTAAAGTTAATGTTCATTAACAATTCCGTGTGTCGCAAGGAAATCAAACAAACCTAGCTCGCAAGGTGCGTACATAGACAAGCTTGTCCACGTTAATCACAACTCCACAGACCGTCGTCAGCAACTCACCGTTGATCAAGGAAGTTCCGTGTCCCCTTCATTCAAAAAACCAATCATCAGAACAAAACAGAGAAGCTGGGAGAACCAGAGAGAGAGAGAGAGAGAGAGAGAGAGAGAGAGAGAGGGAGAAGGAGATTACTTAAAGAAGGCTTCTTTGTGGTTCAAGGGGATGGAGTCGGCAACGATGACAGAGTTGTTTGTCGTCGACGAAAGAGATTTTAGTCGGTCCGTAGCTCCTCTGCCTTTAGTTTTCTCATCACAGAACAATGGTGATTGAGGAATATCGACAGGAGGCAAAAAGAAAAACCAACGACTGTTTACGAATTTTTAGGTTTTCCGAATAATTCATTCATTCATTTATATAAATGAATCTGGGCCTTTGTTTTTCAATATGGGCCAAATGAATTAAATAATTAGTCCTAACTTACCACCTAAGGCCTCGAAAATTTACGGAACCAAATGTACCGAATCAAAATCGAAATAAAAAAAAACCAAACTAAACTGAAACAAAAACTTAAAGATAATCGAATAGATACAAAATTTTAGAACCGAAAGAACCAGAACCGAATCGGTATCGAACCAAAATATTTCGGGTAACCAAAAATACCAGAAATACAATTATATATCCAAAAATATTAATTATTTATAGACCAAATAATTAAATAAATAAATATAGTAAAAAATACTCGAAAATAACCAAAAATATCTGAAAATACCCAAAAATAACCAAAATATCCAAAAATATTCAAAGCAAAATACCCGAATGGATACTAAGTTTTAAAACTGAAAGAACCGGAACCGAACAAAAATTTCAAAATATCTGAATGAATACTAAACTCTAGAATCGAAAGAACCAAAACCGAATGGAACCGAATCGATAACCGATTGGATAACCGAACGCCCATGACTAGTACCAGCGATCATCTAATAAATACTAAAAATAAAATAATAAGTTATATATTGGTTTGTTCATAAGGAAGGGTTAGAGTTTAGATTTTATAATTAAACGAAGCTAATTGTCAATTAGGGTTTATAAAAAAAGTCTGGGTTTACAATTAAACGAGGTTATATGTCGGTTTGAGTTTATAAAGTATGATTAGAGTTTATATTTTACAACTAAACAAAGTAGTATATCGGTTTGGGTTTATAAATAAGTATTTTGGATTTAGATTTATAATTAAATGTGGTCAAATGATTTTTCGGTTTTATATAAGAGTTATTAGATTTGATTTTATAATAAATGTTTTGAATTTTATTTTTTAATTACCTGACATATTCTAATTGGTTCAGAAAGAGGGGGTGAATAAAAGAGTTCACCCCTAGGAGTGAACCCAAAAATTATTCTTTATTTTATCTCTTATGTATTTGTAGCAAGGGATGATATATTTTTGAAGTAATATCAATTAATTAATAAAATAGTTATGATTATAGTATTTTAAGAGATAATATATTATGTATTTATTTTTATCTTCAAATATGAAATTTGGTAGGATATTTGAAATATATAGTATATTGATAGAATAGCAACCCCACTAAAGACATTTTTGATGTTAATCTAAAGAGATAATATTTCTTCATATTGTTAAATTGTGCTTGATGAATTTTCTCATTTGTATTTAGTAGTATTTTTTTTTTCCCTAAGTGTTACCATATTATATTAAGTGAAGTTACAAAAGGTTCATTGTTACAAAAGTGGAAGCTTCCACAAGCACACATTAAAAAAACTTGCTTAAACACTTAACATCAGATTATCTAATAGATACGATAATCGTACTAAATCTCCATATACATTTTTACAGTACTTTTTTGCTTTAATTCTTTTGGATCCGGGTTTGACCCGATTTTAGTCTGTTCGGATCTTGGATAAGCAATTTTAGAGATGTTGTCTTAATTTCAAACTGATAAATGAAGTCATATTGTCTTTAATTCATCTACTTATTCTTATACTATTTCCATATTAATCAAAATCTCCGGATACTTAGCATTTACCATACCTAATTGATTAACTCCATTTTTACCAAAATCAATACAAATAACATCTCACATACCTTAAGTATATATTGTTCCTTTATTTTCAAACGACATTAATTTTTAATTAACACCTAAATCTAATTATATATGATATCTACAAACTAACCATATTTGTTATTTACCTTAACTACTTCTAACAATAAATATTTTGATTACAATAAATATTTTGTAAAAAATTGATTTGGGGAAAATTGTTCTTACGAAAAATAATTTGATTTGTTATGAAAATTAATATTTGTTATTTTTCTAAATTATTTTTGTCATTAAAATACATAAATAGTAATAATAATTTGGCTAGACCATCAAATGAAAATAGTTAGTTATTTAATTTTTTATTTAATATTACGTAATTTTTTTTGGGTAATATTTTCTGATGTGGGTGAACAAATAATTTTCTTATTTATGAAAACAAAACTATAAAATCTAAATTAGTTTAAAATTTGGGATAACTATAATCCCAAAAATAAAACTAATTGGAAACTAATCCCAACAATCAATCTACATAAATGGCATATTCTTTACAACCTTACTAAATCGCATTTAAGTCATTATTTGTTTCCAATTATGATTACAAACCTTTGATTTAATGGTATTAATATACCTATTTATTATTAAATAAAAATATTATTAAAAAAAAACAAAATGATGTTGAATTTCCAAATTAACAATCAAAATATTTTTCTACAATATTAAATACTAAACAAAACAAATACAACTTAAAATTTAATATTTTTTCAAAAACGCATCTCGATTCTTTAATAAGAAGTTTAAACATTATAAATATTTAAACTTTATACGACGGGTGAAATCCTAAAATTGACGGTTTTGGATTGATATTAATACGAGATAATATAGTACGGGTGAAATCCAAAAATTTACAATCAAATAAAATTAACAAAACAAATATAACTTAAAATTTTTAGTTATAAAATATCATTTCGCGATGTACTATACATTTAAATCAAACAAAACAACAGCATATATCTATAGATCATCTTAAAAAAATATTGAATATTTATTTAATAAAAATATAGACCCGCGGTGTACCGCGGGTTAACATCTAGTAAGTCTACAAGAACATTAACTAAAGATTTCACCTCTCCGTGAAATTCTGGAAATGATCAACCAAAAATATTTCCAAAGATCACTCCCCATTATTCACCTTTTTTGCTGTTTGCATCGAAATAGAGTACCTAAACATCATCTTCAAAAAACCAACTGACAAAATTAATAGAGTGTTAAGACTTATCGTTTCTTTGGAGGTTTCAGAATCCCTCCAATATTAGGCTCGTGATACTTCTTGTGATTACTGCTAACATTCTCCTTTTTACTATCTCCATAGTATTTACGCTTGGGAGATTCATACATTTCTATCCTCTTAGAAGATTCTCTTACTTCATATTTCGTGGAAGATTCACCAACTTCAAAGTTTCTTGAGGCTCTTGAAAGAAATCCGTGATTTGATAGAGGACTGTTTGAACCTGTTGAACCTTGTTGAACTCTTGAAGCATGTTGAGGAATCGGTACTGCAATTGAAGGATGAAAATAAGGAATAACAGCCGCAAGCTCATCAGCGTTCAGAGGAGGCTCATCAACTTTTGGAGGAGGAGATAATGGAGGTGGAAAAGACAATTCAGAAATTTGCGATTGAGAATTCGTATCTAGCCTATGAAGATCATCTCTCCAACCAACTCTCTCACGTCCCGAACCTGAATCCTCACCACCATCATCCCTTACACCTTGTAAAGGTTGAAGATAAGGACAGTAAAACCTATGGTGAGTGATCTTTAAGCAGTTACTGCATATTGTTCTCAAGCGCTCATACTGAAAACGGATTAAAGCAGTCAGCTATATGTGAAGTAGTAGCTTCTTGAAAATCAACCGGGATAATTTTCCCACTTTTTGGCTATCATAGTGATAGTTCCAGTACAAACATAAGGAAGGAGAATATCTCTGATTTGAACCCATAAGTATTGTCAAAAAGTCAGCAGCAGGTCTATCCTCCCATCTCTGCGAAGCCATTAACCAATTATTAAAAACCAGCCGTTCTCTTCTTTACACCGAGTTAAGGTTAGCCTCAGATTGGAAAAGGAATTGCACAAAAGTACCATCTACCCTTCCATGCATCTTAGAGGCAATTCCTCAAGTTCTTGGTAAAGAAGCAACAACAGTAAAAAGGTTTTGAGCTCTTGGATTCAGGGGCATAGCAATCAAACTAAGACAATTCTGAACAGTAGCAACTTCATAGACCCCACGAGAAATAAATAGTTCTGGATTGCTTCTACCCAAATCTAAATAATGAAGTTCATCCCACAGCTCATCCGCCATATTTGGAAAAGGTTTTAAGAGCCAAAGGAGAGAGTTGAGTTTCAACTAACACCAAATGAATTCTATATATATAGAGAGAAGATAGAATAAAAAACATAAATTCAAACCCTAGTAAAAAGAAGTCGGTAAAGGAAAATAAGTCAAGAAAAGTTAAAAAAAAAAGAGTGAAAATCGTAAATTAAGACGATTAAGTAAAGAAATTAATAAAAGCTGAAGAAAACAAAATATATAGCAAACCAAGAGTAATTATATTAAAAGATAAGATTTATAAAAAATGGACTTTGACTAAAAGTCTATAAAAACCTAAAATTTGGACTCTCTCCTACTTAACCCTTTCTTCATCAAAAAGATTCCTTAACCATTGCGGATAACTCTTGGAAACATATGATTGCAATCTCCTTCCACTAATCACACTCTTAGCAATCTCAAAAGCACCTATATTCCCCTATTTAGATTCCATCATCATAAACTAGTTTTTTTTTGTCTTAGTAAAACTTACAAGTTATGGTATATGATTATGACCAACCATTATTGGCCAATCTCTTGGTTTATTCAGGGCTTGAATAATGTCATGAGAGGAAGCGCCAAATGTAACTCTATCAAAATGATGATGCTTCATACTATCTAAAGCCCATTCCCAGCTCTTAATTTTGGCATCAAAAAGAGAATGTACCTGAGAGTATGATCTTCGACTATGAAGTAAAAATTCTTCCTTTGCATTACGAACCACCCATGATGCACCAACCAACTGAAAAGGTCTTGACCATGCAAAACCAATGTTGCATTTTAGCTCATCAGATTTTGGAGGAGTCCATTTTTTAGAATTTGTAGAATCAGAAGAGAGTCCATTTCTCTGCGCCAAACTCCATTAATTGATTACAATCCTCATATGCTTTGGCAACAATGTTTTGAGTCATCCTAACCTTCACCTTAAGCCAAATGAGTTCATTGATGGTGCA